TTGTGTCTTAGGATGGCTTCCGATATAAAGAATTTACATTCATATTTTTTCATCTTGTCCAATATGTCTAATGTATCATATCTATGTTGTATATCAAAGGTTTTATGAGATTACAATTTGGTGACAGTTATTGATACTAAATCTTTCATACAATTGATATTGATATATATTCACTTGGATTAAAGAAGATAGAAAGACTCAATGAAATTACAAAGATCACTTATTTTTAATTATATACACATATATATATATATATATATATATATGTAATAAGATATATAATGCCGATATAATAACGCCTTTCAGGATTGCAAACGCAATTTGTTCATCGACTATCCTTTCTCTTTTATTAGTCTATAAACCGATCAGAAAGGTACTATATTATATTTCGTCGCATAAAATCATTATTTAAAGTGCTCCAGAATCGAAGAAATGCTCTAAAGAAGAGATGCTCTTTGGATGTATATCTCATTCAAGGCGCAACGTCCGCGGTACCGATGGAAAGGTAATTCTCAACCATGCAACTAATCCTAATCCCTTTAAGCGAACTACTCACAACGATTTCATGAATATACAAAACAAAGCTCGAAGCAAGGAGCAAAAAAAAACCGTGTCGCGCCGCACCGCCGTCGCCGTCGCCTTTTTCGCCGTCGAATAACGACACGCTCGAGAGAATCTCCCGGATTTAACTTTCGAAGGAAATTTCCAAATGGAGCGAGAACAATTTCGCCGTTTTTCCACCTGTCCTTCCTTTCCCGGCAACAAATAACCGCGGTTTCTCTGCACTCTATAGCCGCTATCGATCTAAATCGCGATTGAATTTCGCCCCGAATGTACACGAAAGATATTTAACTTTCACGAGCGTAATCTTCAATAAATTTTCTTAGATTCGTAATTGATTAGAATTTCAATATTGATGCGGAAACATTAATTGAATAGATTATAATTAAATAGATTTGCTTATATAAATTTACCTTCCATTTGCAATCGTATTTTTATTCTCTCCATCTACAATCTGAATCTTCTTTATCCAATCCAAGTTTCTTATTATTTTATAGGCTTTCCAAAAATTTTCAAAAATTCAGAGCTACTTCACAACATTTCCATTATATTACTAATTAGGTTTTTAAATAGGTTTCAAACGTTAAAACCTTTGTATTTAATAAAAATTGAAAAATAAAGAAAAAATTTGAAAGTGAAATTTTGCTTATGCCAAGAAAGACTCAGATTGCGGACAAAGGATTAAAAATAAATATATCTTTTCTTTATAAAAAAAAACTTTAAATTTATATTTTTCTTCGAATTTACAAAATTTCATTTATTTGCACTTACTGATTGCGTTTTGAATAAAATATAAAAAATTAAAAATGACAATTTTTGCACACAGATCAAGATAGGAAGAGCATCAAATTCCATGGCTATCGATTTTTCGTCTCGGCTGGTGTCGGAGCTCGAAATGCAAGCTCGTAATTGGCACCGACATAATTAACCCTCTAGACAAACTAAACTAGGATCCCAAGTCGAGCAAATATGACGTTATAGAGGAGTACCGTCTCTCCCGTGGCGAATGGTCGGCGTAGACGAATATGATTCATAAGGGGAATATTCCCCTTGTGAATACAGTTCGAACGCTTCAGTCATAATGTTGCGTTTCGCATGAAACCACGAGAACCGTGCATCACGAGAACCACAGTTGAACTTATTGAACAACAAGTTAAATGTGCCGGCGAAGAGTGGGATGAAGTAAAGAAAGATAATTGACGCGATAACAAAGACAAAAGGAAATTACCCAAAATATGAAATATACGGATAAATACAATATACAATGATGTGAGATCAATTGGAAAATATTGGAAATCAATACGTTGCTGTCTTCAGCAAAGAAAGCAACCAATTATTTGTTTTTTTTTTTATATTTCGCACTTTTGCATACAAATATTTAGAGATTTAGATTTAGAATGCTGCAAAATTAATTACTAACGCTCATAATCATAATTAAATAACTTAATTATAATCATTAATTAATTTTTAAAATTTATAAAGAATATTTTTATTCTCTTTCTCTGATAGACATTTAAAAATTAAAATCTTAAAATGTCAAAATACATAAAATTTCAAAGATTTAAAATTTTAATCATAAATACCTCGAAAATTATAATTTTAAGCATTCCACGTTCTTCAACTCTGAAAGCTCTTGAATCTTTGAACTCTGTTTCCGTGTATGTTTTCGATTATACTTTACGATAGAATATTAATGTTATCAGAACTTTAGGTCCTTTAATACCGTATCATTCACATTTGTGAACTCGCGCATTACTGTTGGAATATTTAACTTTCCAAATCTTGAATTCTCCCGGACCCTTTGATCTCAACATCACGAATGCATGTCTATATATAAAATAAAGCGAATAGAGAGAGCAAACTCTCTGAGAGAGATTCACCTCGTACGCTCTGAAAAGCAGATAGAGCTCCCTCGGCTTGGTGTCCATCGGCAAGCCGCTCACGAACAAGGTGCGCACCTGAAACAGGAGAGAAAGAGAACGATAATTGAGTTAATTAACCTAATTGGCTAGTGTAGAGGGAAAGAACAGCAACAGAGAAACACAGAGAAACACAGAGACTAAGAGAGAAATACAGAGACGAACGAGAGAGAGAGAGAGAGAGAGAGAGAGAGAGAGAGAGAGAGAAAACAAGCAAGGAGGTGTAGTCCAAACTCCAGACTGGGAGACGAGGAAACCAACTTCCTTGACTCCTGCCCTCGTCTTGTCAGATGAATCGATAGCTAATTGCAGAATCAATGTAAGATGCCCCAAGACAGGAAGAAGTCAGTCCCCCTCGTTCGTCATCCTTTTTAATTTCGCGATTAATTCGGCAATTTATGAAGGCGATCCCAATTAATTGTGGCACAACTCTTAGAGATTTTTGAAAGTGATTCTCGAAGATATTTCTTCCTTCCTCATGATATCAATCATCTTTTCCGGCCGTTCATCATTAACATTAATGTGGCTGAATTAATGTGATATTATTTTCAATGGAGAATGTAAATCGGGTTTTCGTATTGTGCTATCATCGGGAACAATGCGGCTAGAAAGGAGACTGATGCTGAATCGAGGCAGCTTTCGCTAGCGAACGCTTGTTAAATACAGTTGGTGCGCAGATAATTACTAATTAAGTGTCCTCAATAAGAATATTAGTAATTCATCTATTTATTACGCACAGTTTTTTTTATTATGTTATAAAAATAAATTTTTATAACAATTTAATACTTAAAATTATTA